ATCACCTGTCTCCTCCGTCATGTTGGCAGATTCCTGTGCGCCGGTATTTTTCTTCGGTGCTCGACAATCTCTTTTGAAGTGACCCTTTTTGCCGCAATTATAACAGGTAAAATCTTTATTTCCTGTTCTTGATTTGCCCCTTCTAGATTTTGATCTGCCACGATTTGAATTTCTTTCTGAAGTTCTCCCTCTAGACTCCGTGTGTAAGGCTGAGGAGGTTGATGCTTCACCCGATTCTCTTCGTCGAATTTCTTCACTCAATACCATATCCCGAACATCGTCGAATTTTAATTTGCTGTTTCCCGACGAACTGCTGACTGCTGTAACAGTAGCATTCCAACTGTCTGGTAGAGATGATAAGAGAATTAAAGCTCGAACTTCATCATCGAACTCAATTTCCACTGAACTCAACTGGGTTGTGATTGTGTTGAGTTCATTTAGGTGTTGTGCCACCGATGCCCCTTCCGCCATCCGCAAATTGAATAATCGCCTCATCAAATGAACTTTGTTTGAGGCCGATGGCTTCTCGTACATACTGGAGAGAGCCGCCATAAGACCCCCGTGGTCTTTTCCTTTGCTATGTTAAAAGCAACATTGCGGGATAACGTCAGTCGGATAACTCCGAGGGCTTGTCTGTCGAGAAGAGCCCAATCTTCATCCTTCATGCCCTCTGGTTGCTTTCCTGAGAGAGGTTGATATAGATTTTTCTGGTACAAAAAATCTTCAATCTGCATCTTCCAAAAGCCAAAGTCCGCACCATCGAACTTTTTAATTTTCACCTTCCCTTCGTCTGCAGCCATCGCTCCCACTCGAATCTGGCTTCGTTTGGATCGTTTCTGACAATTCTTGCGAATCACCGTGTATTAGAACACCACCGTCGACAAACTCGTATCGCCGACCGAATTTCACTATTCACGAAATTCACTATTCACGTGAATAGTAATGAATAGTAACCTCGCAGAAAATTTGACAAAATTCACAACCAAAAGCTCTGATTACCAGTTGTTAGGAAAATAAACCGAGTACAAGTAATTTCCCTATAACCAGATTAGTGAGAATGCGAAATAAAAGCGGAAAAATAATACCCGAAAATTGATAACGGAGTTCAGCCAATTGTGCTTACGTCTCCGGGCTACTGCAGATCTTTTACTAAGAGAGAAAATTTACAGGTGTTTACAAAACACTCACTACTCACAAGAAAGCTCTCTAGTATAGGAAGAAAGAAATGTTTTGGGATAATTTTTGAAGCTAAATGGGTAAGGGTATTTATAGTAGAAACTTAGGGACTAATCTTTGAAAATACCCTAAAGTGCAATGACTAAAGTGAATTTACCCATTCCTATTTTCAACAAACATCTACCAAAATTTTACCAAACTTTGAAAAACATTTTTCAAAGAAACATTTACCAAACTTTGAAAAAAACATTTTCCAAAGTTGGTTGCCAAACTTTGAAACTTTTAACAGATTCAACTACAATCAATTTGATAAACCTTTTTTCGTACAAAAATATAGAGTTATCGATTATTCAACATAATTCGGCTATGATGCCAGTTGTTAGAACCAAAACATAATTGATATAAAATCAAGAACACAAATAATTTAAGATTTAATCATGCCAAATCATCAAGAATAAAATATTAGATGCGGAAGTATATCAATTAATTGATAATTTAAAATTCTTGTGTCTTTCTTTGGTTGTGATATTTCAAGAAGTTAGAGTTCCCTTAAGTATAAACTTTCTGACATGATAAGAGTAAATACGAGAATGACTATAACCCCTTTATATAGTTGATTTAAGAATCAATTATTGTATGTACTTATAACTTTGTCTCTCATCAAATTATAAATACAACTTCAATAACATCTACACTTTTATTTTCATGACACTTCTAATACCTTACGACTTTATATAATAAATACAAATTCAAGTTTCAGATTTTGGATAATTTTGTCCAATTTAAAAATGAAAGACAGCAAATAAAAGGTAAGGTTGAGTACCAAATATGAAATCATTTTTCGAGTTTGGATGATTAAAATAACTTAATCTCTTAAATAGAGATTTATAATTTTCATTTTCAAGGTTTCAACAATGGTGAACGACAAGGTTGAAGATGATGGTTCATGACTTTTTGTTCCTAATTTCCTTTCCTTAATCATGCATGAGTTAATTACCTCTTAACCATTCATCTTTTTCATTGTTTTCACTTGAGCTCTTAAATTCTTATATTTCTACTAACACAATCTCAGTGCCTAAGGAGGATCGATCGAACGTCTGTCCTCCGCAACTTGAAGTGCCACTCGTCGGGAAGCCTCTTCAACCCAGAATTAGTCTTCGATCCCTGATGTAGAATCTGTGGCCAATAGGTGGCCTACCTGGTTACCAGACCTTGAGGTGAAACGAAAGTTATGTGCATGGAGGGAGGCCACTAGTCTTCGCCCTTCTCAAATAAAAAACATTTATTTCAGAGAGTCAAGGTCAATCGAGGAAAGCTTTTGGATCACTTATCGAGAATCTCCTTAGAAAATGGCCTGCATGAAGCCTATATCTATCGTCAACTGAACAACGTGGGACGCGGCCGCAGTTTCGACTGCAAAAATTGAGGTAATGCTTCAAATTTGACGCGTACAAGCTCCCAAAACATGACCTTCAGAAATCATGATTCCAACCCCTGACCAAGCTATATTCTCTGATTTCATAAAGTGGATGTCAAAATTGGCCTTGACCATCGGCTCATCGGGAGGTTTCCAACGGACAGTAGTCACTGAAGAAGGACCACTTAGACAAGATTGAATTGAAGAGTATTCACGATAATGGCTTTATCTTCATAGAAATATCTATTCCTTGCATAGAAATATCTATTCCTTGCATAGGCCATTGATGGTGCAAGGTAACTACCTCACCCACAATAATGGCGTTATCTTCATAGAAATATCTATTCCTTGTGTACCAAATGGCCTAAATTGTAACAAAAATCTCACCATATTTGTTTATCTAAAATGGTAAGAATTCATTGCTTATCCAAAATGATAAGAATTGTATAATACTTAAAAATTTGAATGTACTGACATTCTCGCCATTTTAACTATAAAAAAATATCATTAGTAATAAATTATTATCTGATGATGATTTTTTTTACTAATCAAACATAGTAATACAATTAAAAAAAAATTATTCCACAATTATAATTTTTTTCGTAAGAGATCTTTATAGTAAAAAGAATTGTTATGATTTACAACTTCTTATCTTAATTTAATCATTGATCTGATACTCCAAGAGTGAATATAATCCAAAAACTTTTCTTTAAAATGTTTCTCTTATTTCTCCGTAGAATTGCGAGAATACCCAAATATCTTTCGGAATCAAAAGAATGGACACCTCAGGAATTCAACCAACGCCAGCACCATTTTCCTCAAGAATTTGACACTTAGGTAGCGTTTGGTTCGCTGGAATGTTTATGAGGGAATTGGAATCTATGAAAGAAAAAATTGGAATTTGTCAGGAATTAGAATCCGTCAGAAATTGAAATCCAATTCCATATTCTGTTTGGTTCGCAGACATGTCAGATGAATTTGATTTCAATGATGTAAAATGACAGAATTATCCTTCTTGTTTTGTTTTTTTTATATTTTATTTTAGTTTATTTTACAACTTACATGTAGTAATATATTATAAAAAATTAAAAAATATTAAATTTTTATTTTATTGATTGATTATTCATTTCAATAAATTATAAAAATCATGCTAATAAACATTATAAGTTAAAATCATCACAATCAAAATATGTTAATAAGTTATTAAAAGATAAAGCAATATTTAGATACATTCCAATCGGAGTATGTTAATTAGTTACAAAAATATATATTAAAAACTATTTTTATTCAATATATGAATTAGAAACCCGACCTGACACGACACGAAATAATAAAAAAATTATTTTTATTCAATAAAAACATTGACTTAATTGAAAAAAATTATATATAGAGGGGTATTATTATAATTATTCCTAAATATATAAGGTAAAATTATATATTTTTTTCGGGTCGGGTCCGGTTTTTTCACCCTAAACCCAAACCCGACCCGAATATCACACTTAAAAAAACCAGACCCGACTCGACCCAAATATCACACTTAAAAAACCCGACCCGACCCGAACAAAATAAATTTTCACCCAACCCGACCCGAATATATGAATTAGAAATCCGACTCGACTCGACCCGACCCGAAATAATAATAAAAAAATTTATTCAATAAAAATAGCGACTTAATTGAAAAAAATTATATATAGAGGGGTATTATTGTAATTATTCCTAAATATATAAGGTAAAATTATATATATTTTCGGGTCGGGTATTTTTCACCCTAAACCCGAACTCGACCCGACCCGACCAAAATAAAATTTCACCCGACCCGACCTGAATATATGAATTAGAAACCCGACCCGAAATAATAAAAAATATTTTTATTCAATATATGAATAAGTTATCAAAAGATTTATGAGGGTAGTATGGTCAAATTTCAATTCCCTCCAACAAGGAATTGAATTCCATCCATTCTTGGATGGAATTCACTTTCTCTAATTTGATAGAAAGTTAAAGTCATGAGGGATTCCAATTCCCTTGAAAAACTTGAACCAAACATAAAAAAGTAATAGAATTGGATTCTAATTCTCACAAATTCCAAGGAATTCCAACGAACCAAACGCCACCTTCGTTAATTATATATATATATATATTGCAGATCAATTTTAAAAAAATATTAAATAATTTGATAATATGCTACTTCAATAATTACATGAATAAAGAAAGTTACAGGCATAACGACAACATATATTACGTTCTGTTCTCAACTAGCTTTTACCAGGAGAGCCATTTAAAAGGCAGCAATAATTAGCTTCATTATCCTATAAATTATCAGTTAAAATATTCTCATAAATCCTCCATTTTCTCCACCATCCATGAATCTTATCTCTTTCACTTTACTCAATTCCACCTTGTAGCCATGGAAATGGAACTCATTTTCTCAGTTCAATCATTACTGCTCCTTTCTCTAACCATTCTTTGTTGTTACTACTACTTCAGTTTACACCATAAACAGAATGGAAGTAATCATGGGTTCAAAATCTACCCCATACTCGGTGCCTTGCCCGATTTCTTGAGAAACCGACATCGGTTTCTTGATTGGACGAACGGAGTTTTACGGCGGTGCCCGACTAATACCGCCGTCTTTCACCGTCCAGTTAAGATCCATGGGGTCATGACTGCGAACCCTTTGAATGTCGAGTATGCTCTCAAGACCAACTTCGAGAACTACCCTAAAGGGGAACGGTTCATTGGGATATTCAAGGACTTGTTTGGCCAAGGCATGTTCAACTCGGATGGTGTTCTTTGGAAAATTCAAAGGAAAACAGCTAGCTACGAGTTCAACACCAAATCTATGAGAAATTTCATCATGGACAGTGTTTGGCTCGAGATTTCAACGAGGTTGATCCCAGTCCTAAACCAGGCATCGGAAACGAATCAGGTTCATGTTTTATGTTTTATTTACGTAGATCATGGATGTTGAGTTTTAAGTATTTCTTTTTGACAGATATTGGATTTGCAAGATATTTTGGAGCAATTCGCTTTTGATAACATATGCAAACTAGCTTTCAATGTCGACCCTGGTTGTCTTGGTGGCAATGGAAATGGTTCTCATTTCATGCGTGCCTTTGAAGAGGCTACAATGCTTAGTTTCGGTAGATTCATGTATGCTTTCCCCATTTTATGGAAGATAAAAAGGATTTGCAACATGGGATCGGAGCGAAACTTGAAGAAATCGATCAAAATCGTCCACGAATTCGCCGATAGCATCATAAAAACAAGATTACAATCAAAATACGAAACCAAAGATGAAGATTTACTCTCGAGGTTCATCAGAAATGACAACAATTCACCTCAATTTCTCCGGGATATCATCATAAGCTTCATCCTAGCAGGCCGAGACACCACATCCTCAGCCTTGACTTGGTTCTTTTGGCTACTATTGCTAAACCCGAGCGTCGAACAAAACATTCTAAACGAACTCGAAACGATCCGAACACGAAACCGGAAAACCATTGGCTGCACATATACATTCGACGAACTACGTGACATGCACTATCTTCATGCAGCGATTTCCGAGAGTTTAAGATTGTACCCACCGGTTCCCATCGACACAAAAGTTTGTGTAAACGACGACATACTTCCGGACGGCACGTTTATAAGAAAAGGTTGGTTTTTCACTTACCATGCGTATGCAATGGGGCGGATGGAGGCCATATGGGGCAAGAATTGCGATGAATATTTACCGGAAAGGTGGCTAGATGAAACTGGGAACTACAAGCAAGAGAATCCATTTAAATTCCCCATATTCCATGGGGGACCAAGGATGTGTTTAGGTAAAGACATGGCGTATATTCAGATGAAATCGATTGTGGCAGCTGTGATGGAGAGGTTTGTGATAGAAGTACAAGGGAAAGACAAGTGTCCTCAACACCAAATGTCTTTAACTCTTAGGATGAAAGGTGGGTTATCGGTTAAGGTCAGGGAAAGATGAGCCTACTTGTTTGTTTGATCTTCAAATACAATGGGATTAGTGTGTTTTTTCTTTTTAAATGGAGATTTAATGTTTGTTTTATAAGGTATTTTCTTCAAACATAATTCCTTACAAAGAGTGATATTATTCAGCCAATAAACATCTCACCAAATCTCAAGTCAACTGGCTTGCCCAATATACTCTAGCAAGATAATGGGCTGCGTTATTAGTTTCCCATTGAATCCAACGAAAATAAAACAACAAAGAGAGACAAAAATAAATTATATGATAAATTATACTTTTAGTGCCTAAACTATCAATTTTGATCTATTTCAGTATCTAAACTTTCATTTTTTCAAAAATATACCTAACATTTAATCTCAATTTCATTTTAGAAACAGTCTTTAAAAACTTAACATAATTAGTACTTAAAGTATCAATTTTGATCTGTTTTAGTACCTAAGCTTTCAAATTTTTTAAAAATTTAACGTTAAATTTTTAACAAGATACTAAAATGAAACAAAAACTAAATGTTAGATATGATTTAAAAAAAAGTTTAAGAATTAGAACAAACAAAAACTGATAGTTTAAATATTAAATCCACAGTTGATCCTAAATTATATGAAAAACAAAAGAAAAAGTATATAAAACTAAGATTAAAATTTGTACGAGACAAAATAAACAATTCCATTATAAGAAACTGGAGATATTATTATTTATACAATAAAAAACTCAAATATTTAAATACAATAATAGATATGTGAAATAATTATGTAAAATAATGATAATTGGTGCCCAAATCATCTAGAAGCGTTGACAGCAACAATCAACTACAATTGTTGTCCAAAAATATTTTTTTAGAAAAGAGAATAAACAAAATTTTATCAACAATATATATATTCAAAGAATTAGAATGCTTTGTAAATATAAGACGGTGATAATTACACTTTATTACAATTACTTTTACCTATCTAAACATATTCTAAAAATTGATTATTAAATTTAGTTAATTGAAACAATTGGGAATAAAATTTAATTTAAAATATTATAAAACTATATTGACCCAAATTAATCAATGGTGTTGATTTAAGTGATAAGCAGTTTAGTATTGTGGTCTCAACCATTTTTTATTGTGGTCTCAACAATTGGGAATAAAATTTAATTTAAATGACTATCCATCTCAGTTGGTAGAGCACAAGGTTTTAACCTTGAGGTCGTGGGATCGAGTCCCACGGAGGGCATTTCATAATTCGGAGGTCTCTTACGGAAGCTGCTCTCAACCTGATGTTGGGGGTAGCCTACTATCTTACCTCCCCCTTATCCCATACATATGGAAAAAGGGACAACCATTTTTTATTGTGGTCTCAAGTTCGAGTCTTTATATTTGTATAAAATTTTCACTAAAAGATTCATCCACCAAAATTAAATATGTAACGCAGATTGATTCGAATTAATCAGGACCAGGACGGTCATGAGAAGACAACCCAAATAAAAATTGAAAAAATATATTAAGGACTATGATTGTACCTTAGAAAAGTACATGTCGAATCTAAAATATATATTACTAAATAGGGGTAAGCAAAATTCGATTTGAAAAATTAATTTTTTTTTTAATTTTGAGTTATTTGAATCAACTCGAATTATCAATTTGGTTTTTGAGTCCGAGTCGAGTTGAAATTTAGAAATTTTGAGTTACTAAAAAAACTAAAAATTTGGCTATGTAATTTGACAGTTTTACGATTTAATCACTACTTTCATTTTTCTTTCAATTCATCATTCATTTTAAGTATATTTTTAATGAAATTTGAATCATATGCTCCAAAACCATAATATAATACATGTATACATTCAATTCATCTTTCCGATAACAAGTTTTCAATTTTTCAATTTAATCTCTCAATTTTTCTTACTTTCCTTATTTCTTCAATTCACCTGTATTTTAAGTATTTTTTTAACCAAATTTAAACCATATGCTCATGTATCACAATAGAATTTCTATGTAACTTTAATTCTTATTTTTAAAAAGTATTCTCTTTTTTATTTAGACCCTTAACATTGTATTTTACTCAATTTAATCTTTTGACTGTAATTGTTTACAATAATTTCTTATCATTAGTTCATTTACTCTTTTTATACTCTCATCAATATTTTACACTCAAAATAAAGAAAAATATAATATTGTGAATATATTTTATAATTTTAGATTGTATTTGATATATTAAATAGCATTATAATATATTATAATGTGAAAATAATATGAAATATATATAACTTATATGGATAGAGAAAGTTGAAAAATTGAAAACAATCCTTATCATAATATTGTAAATAATTATAATAAAACTAACATAGAAACTCGAATAATTCGAAAAAATTTTAAATTAAATTCAAGTCGTAAAATAAGACTTATCAACTTGATTAACTTAAATTTTTTTAACTCAACTTGACTCGAATTAAATGCGGACCATAGTAGGTACTAAATACTAACTATCATTATTTTTTGTATACCTAAGGAACCAATTATATTTCTGCGACAATGGCCGGAGAATGGGCTTGTAAAAGCTTATCCTAAACTCGTCTCCTTCTTCCTCTACTAAAATCACCCTTCGGTCGCCTCTCTCTTTCTCTCTACCCGATAATCCTAACTTCCTCCTGCCGCCGTCGCCAGCCACCTACCGCCTATTGGAGTCATTGGAGTCGTCGTCATTACCTTCTTCCTCTGAACTTCTTCACACAAAAAAAAAAAAAAACTTGCAAGAATTCCCTTACCCCAGACCCTAAAACACTGCATAGCGGGTTATTATAAAGTTTTGCTCTTTCAGTCATTTCATCAAACAGTTCATGGACATTTATTTACACCAACAAACCCAATGCTGTTCGTAGCTATAATAATTCCTTTGTCATTCACTTCATTGCTGCTTCAATAAATTTGTCTTCTTTTTGGAAGCAAAAAGAAATCAGAGAGTGATGCTAAGGGTAAACCCTTTTGTCCCTTCATTCTCAATGTTTAAAAAAATCCCATTTTTTTTTACTTTATCGGAGTAGTTTCCGTCGCATTTTACGTCCCTATAGGACTTGCCGTTGTAATTTATTTGCCAAACCGGTTAGTGTTTCGAATGTTAACGCGAATTTCTTTGCTGTTGATAAAACAAGAAACTTATCTGCGGTTGCTACTGCAAAGAAATCAGGCTTGAATGCCTCTAATAGTAGTACTAATGAAATGACCAACAAAGAAAGGAAGAAAGCAAAAAGGGAATCACCTGAGTTTCAGCTTAAAGTTAAGCTTGATATGTGCTCGAAGCATGGTAAGCTTGAGGAAGCGCTTCGTTTGTATGATGAAAGCAACAGTAATGGAGTTAAACTGACACAGCGTCATTACAATATGCTGCTTTATTTGTGTGCTCGTGAAGCTAGTGGAGATGGGGATCAATTGAATGAGTTGAGAGAATTAGGACTTAAGAGGGGATTTGAGATTTTTCAGAAAATGGTTGGAGATAAAGTTTCTCCCAATGAGACTACTTTTACAAGCATGGCGAGATTGGCAGTAGCAAGGGAAGACCCAGATAAGGCTTTTGAATTGGTGAAGCAGATGAAGGGTCTTGGAATTATTCCAAGACTAAGGTCATATGGGCCGGCTTTGCTTGGATTCTGTGAGAAAGGTAATGCAGAGAAAGCATATGAACTGGATGCACATATGCTTGAATCAGGGGTAATGACTGAAGAGCCTGAGCTTTTGGCTCTTTTGAAAGTTAGCATCGAAACCAAGAACACTGGCAATGTGTATGAGATGTTGCATAGGTTGCGAGCCATAGTGAGGCAGGTCTCGGAATCAACCCTTCAAGTTGTTGAGGATTGGTTTAAGTCAGAGGATGCTGCAAATGTTGGGGTAGAGAAATGGGATGTGAAGCAGATAAAGGAAACAGTTGTAGGAGGAGGAGGAGGGTGGCATGGAATGGGGTGGCTTGGAAGCGGGAGATGGAGGGTTGTGAGGACTACAATGACTGAGAATGGTGTGTGTCGTTCATGTGGGGAGAAGCTTGTTTGTGTTGATATTGATCCAAAAGAGACAGAATTTTGCTGCTAAATTAACTGAATTGGCATGCAGTAAAGAGGTTAGAGCTGATTTTGTTCGGTTCCAGGTAACTCTTTATACCTTGTTATTCCCTAATTTCTGTGAGAAGTGGGAGTTTCCATTGTTAGTTGTTCTAAGTCTTCAAGTATTGTAAATTCAATGATTTCTTGTCCTGTGACCTAATTTAAACTTTTAAGTTTTGGCACTTAGAATCTACTGGAGAACAATGTGCTTATTTGTTAATCTTAAACACTGTTGAGGAGCAGAACAATCACAATGCCAATCGAAAAAGTATAATAACAATTGGATGTGTTCTTTTGATTTATATGTGTGTGTGGGTAAGAATGGATGTATGTGATGAAAGGAATTTTAGGTTACTTGTACTACTTAGTCTGTTTCTTTAACAAGCAATAGGGATTATAGGCTAGAGAAGCTTTTATTATTTCAGTTTCAGTTGGTTCATGTAAACGATGAATTTAGAATTGAATTAAGAGATTTTGTTATAGGGATTTTCTCCTTGGTTCATTCCTCCTTTTACCCCTGTTCTCATCCAATTCTTACTCTATCTCTCTCTCTTCCATACCTTTTCCTCTGTCTATTTTCTTTTGTTACACCTTTTGTCTCCCATCCCCTTGTTTCTCTTGCTTACCCACATCACTTTTCCTCTGTGGTAGCTACTAGCTGGTTGAATGCTTTATATGTTACATATTTACATGAATTATGACTGTAATTATCTGTTCTGTACTGGAAAAACTAGAATTGTTTCAGAATTTGGCGTGCCAGTTTCTTTAATGTTTTGGGTGAATCTAATAACATCTAGAGGTCATCACTTTGGGGTTTTAGTCCTCAACTTTCCAGATATAGCATAACTTATTAGTTGTTTTCCTCTGTTTTTTTTATGCCACTTTCCTTTTTATCAGTGTTTGGAATCAATATTTGAATTTATGGATGTTGTGATTTGTAAGAATTCCATATTTCATTGTAAATGATATGAAAAAATTGTAATGGCTTTGTATCCTTTATCTGTTTA